AAGGCAGTGTGCCAATAGTCAGACACACCTGGATTAATCAGTTTGTCCAATGATGTAAGACAGGAAATAAAAGAGCTGTGCTTAATTCAGGAAATAGTGAAGTTGTGCACAAAGCTCAGAAAGCACAAGTTTGTTAAAAAAAATAAAAATAGCACAGCCCCACCAAAAATATTTTTCACCAGCCGCCACTGCTCAAGGGCAATATGCCGATTATCACTTGTAAGTCGCTTTGGACAAAAGCGTCTGCTAAATACATAAACATAAACCAGGGTAGCACAGCCACAGGTGTTTCAGAAACACTCCCCATATCTGCTGGAGACCAAACAAGTCAGGGAGCTGCTAAAAAGCAAAAAAAAATAAAATAAATAAAAGAGTCTCAGGAGCTTTTTGAAGGGACCTGTTTGTGGCAAGACAGATGTAACTGCAGAAATGTTATTATCTGAACTGAGCAGTTATGTGAATAGTCCACCAGCAGACAGTGAGTGTGATCCTCTTTTGTGGTGGAAGGTTCACACAGTAAACTTTCCCAACATCAGCAGATTAGCTAGGAAGTACCTCTGCATTCCAGCAACTAGCTCTGCATCTGAAAGGTTGTTCAGTACAGGTGGAAACGTTGTAACTTGTCTACGATCCTCCCTTAAGCCCACATCTGCAAACATGTTGGTGTTTCTGACAAAAAAATCTTAAAACTTGAAAAGGGCACTTTATCCATGTTTTTCAATGTATATTTTTACTCAAGAGTTTGAGTTTCATGTTGCAAAGCAACTCTTTAAGTTATTAGATATTACACATGAGGAGGGTATTCAGCCCATTTGCACAAACATTTTAATGTAGTTTTGATGCTTGTGAAAACTGCTGCTTCAGTGAAAATATATTGGTGGGTTCTTTGCACTAATAAAGTTGTTAATTTGTAAAGTACTTTATCTCACATCAGTCATGTCGTCAGTTGTATCGTTATCGCAAATTTTCATATACCGTAAATCCTCTAATACAGGCCCGGGCCTGTATTTGACTCAAGCTCATCAAGCTCCAGGCCTTTATTGGAAGGAGGGCCAGTATTAGAGGCAGGCCTCTATTTCTATTTGAGCCAAATGAACTAATGGTTCGCTGGAGTTTTTGACAATTAAAATTGCGCCCACATTTTCAAAGTTAAAAATTTCTTTTAACAACGGTAGTTTCTGCTTCAGCCATCTCCCCCCTCCCCCTCCCCCTGCGCAGCGGCCGCAAACTCACTGATGCGCCTGCAGCCTCTCAGAATTCCTGCTGCTCTAAACATTAAAATAATTATTTCATTTTCTGTTCCTCACTTCTGATTACCTTCAATGGTGTCTGTTTGTTGCAACCACCAGGTACATAAACTAACTTGTTTTTATTTGACTATTTTTCTGTCCTGCCTGTCTATTATCTTCCTGCATCTCCTCTCAACCCTAAAGAAAAACTGCTACCTGGGTTCATATATATTCACTTTATGAGTTACCTTTGAACTGCAGTTCTAAAAGATCTACCGACCGCAAAAACAGTAGAGTGCTCGCTGCTTGGCGGCCGCATCAGTGATCGTTGTGTCGGAGGACAAGGTGATGCACCCCGCTCCACAGCGAAACGCATCAGGCGCAAATAAAAGACAGAAAACATTAAAGGAAATGAACTGACATGAACGATCGCGTGTCAGTACCGATGCTCTGGCACAGTGCGTTGCCCCCCCGACGCGCAGGAGCTCGTCACCTGCTGACAGCAGCCTGCTGTCTTTTCCGAGGGCTGAATCTTGCTGGTCATTATCACGTGACAGCGACTAGTCGATGACAGGCATAAAAAGTCACTATAGTGAAGTCGACTAGTTCATACAACCCCTACTACTGCTCTTCAGTGTTCTGCAGCATAATCAGCACGTTCCCTTTGAACTTGATATCACGTTTTCGCCTCCTCTTAGTCTCCGCACGGTTAAAGTTACCCTCGCGGTCTATCACTGGCAAATCAAAAGTGAGACGGATGACACAACCGCCCCCCCGTACTTGCTTGTTACCACATTCCACCCGGCCACAATAAGAGACCGGCCATTATTCACCTCCGCCGACTCCGACACCAGCCAAAATATGAGACCCGGCCGTTAATCAAATACAGGCCTGTATTAGAGGATTTACGGTATATATCGTGATAAATATTTTTGGCCATATTGCCCTGCCCTATTTCTGACTTTGGTCCCATGCCTTGATACTTGGTGTTGACCTTTTGAAGCGCTTTGTCCCCGTTATCGATCTTGAAGGGGGGGAACAATGGGCATGTGCTGAAGACCCCATGCCCATCGAACTCCCTCCTGAGCTTGACTTTCGCTGCCTTGCAGTAGTTGGCTGCCGAGCTCAGCCCCTCTGGAACCACTACCACAGCTTCTTTCAGAGCCGCCCTCTGATGTTCTTTCTCTCATTGAATGGGTCATGGGCCAAGCAGATGCTTTCATGAATGAGGTTGAGCAGGACAAACTATGGCAACTCCTACTTAAATACAAGGACTCTCTTCAGTAGACTCCTTAGAACAGGGGTGTCAAACTCAAATTCACACTGGGCCGAAGTCATGGGCCAAACAATTTTTTTTAAGTGAGGGCAAATTTGCACATTTTCTTTATCAACATATATGCAATTTTGACCCTTTTACTTTGGAAACAAACTTATTTTTGCATTAACACTGAATGTGGAATAACTAAATTACACACGAGCAAGTCAATTTGAAATGAAACGCATCAGTGGTATTCATTACTTGTGGTATATTCAGCATTTTTAAAATCTATCAGGATTTATGTTTTCTTGTTGTTTATTTATTTTTCTTCTTTTTTATTCTCCTGTAATAAGTGTCATCGCTGCTTTGACATTCAATTCAATTCAAATTCAATTCAAAGACACTTTATTAAAGGGGCATTATGGAAGTTTGACAGCCAAAACATGTATAGAAATAATAAATTTCTTCTTCATACATTCTCCTGCAATGCCCTGGTCCTGTAGAATGAGTCCTGGCATTTTTACTGTGATTGCCGGTTTTTCTGTAAAATCACAGAAAAAGAGAGCTGCTCGGGTCGAGCAGGCTGCTTCATGTGCGTTCACGCTCAGGCATAGCCCGTAGCATTTGCTATCCGTTCCTAAACGCCTAGTGACAAAGCTAGCTACGTTTCTGAGGACCCTTAGCTACTTTCTGTAGAACTTTCTTCTAGATATTTCCTGCAAATTAGCAACAAAATAGCCATTTTTGCTCCGAACCGTTCTTTGAACGTTGTTTCAGCTGTCATCAAGGATATAAATGTTACAGATACAAAAGACGTCAGTGGCGCTATAGCTCACCTAGTAAGACGTCGGACTCTCATGCAGACGACCTGGGTTCGATTCTGGATGTAAATATAATTTATTTAGAGTTTCTTTTTTACATTAATGATTTTTTATTTATTTATTTTTTTTGCAGTAAGATGCCCAAATTTTTATTTGACACTCGCCAAACGGCATTCAATTCACAGTAAAAAAAGATGTAGGTTCAACTTTCATTTTGGAACAATTTTTCAAGCAAGGGAAGGGAATGATCAAGCATGCAGGACTGACCCATCTTAAACCTTTATCGGCTGTGCTGAAGAGAAAGGTACAGAACCAAATTATTTAATTAATTAGCTGTGCATTCTCCTGTCCTCGATCCTCCGGGCCACACACACACACACACACACACACACACACACACACACACACACACACACACGGGACTGTCTCAGCTGTTATTTTCGTTAAGGAGTGTGCACGTACAGCATGCGCGCCTCGTGCACGAGCCTACTATTGAAGCTGCCGTTTCGCTTTTGGCCCGAAGGGGCAATCGCGAGCATAAAAATTCAAAACTCCGTAAAGTCCCTTTAATCCCAGAGGGAAATTAAGAGTTTCAGTACACACAATTCTGAGATAAGACATACATAGGCATCTAGACATCTAGCTTTCCCCACTGAGGAACAATAAAGTGATTTTCTATTCTATTCATCTATCTGCAGCCTTTCCAGTTCCTGTTTTACTGTAGGTTAAATCTTTTCTCACGGGCCAACAACAAAATAAAAATATAATTTTATCTTAAATGAAAATGCAATATCTCACCTGTTAACTTTCACATTCACTCCAGGAAATCATTGACAGCAGCAGTTTACGCGAGCAAGACGTGCTGCTGCAGTAATGTGCTGCTGACGGCTCCCGTGGAAACCCAGGGTTATACACTATCATTTTCATCATCATCAACTTTATTTATATAGCACCTTCCAAATGCCAGAAGGTGAACCAAAGTGCTGTACACGCATTAAAAACATCACTGAGCCATACAATGGTCAACAAAAATAGACAAAGACAAATGAGAACAGGTAAAAGCAGGAGATAAGAGCAAAGAATGATCATTAAAAACAAGATAAAATAAGTGAAATAAAACTGCATTAAAATTAGCAACATTATCTAAAAACATTGCTAGCTCGCATGCTCCACCGTATAAAAGTGAGTCTTCATCCGACTCTTAAAAGGTGGCAGTGAGGGTGCTCGTCGGTCCTTGAGTGGAAGACCATTCCATAGCTTGGGGGCCAAAACTGAAAAAGCCCTGCCTCCTTTAGTTGAGCATTTGCTCCTGGGACCACTAGTAGGTCTTGCTGTGATGACCTGAGCACACAGGATGGTTTATATCGCGTGAGTAACTCAAATACCTTGGAGCACAGCCCTACAGAAACTTGAAAACAAAAACAAGTATTGGATTGAGATCTGGTGACTGTGGAGGCTATTTGAGTACAGTGAACTCATCGTCATGTTCAAGAAATGATTCGAGCTTTATGACATGGCACATTATCCTGCTAAATGTCGCCAACAGAAGATGGGTATCCTGCAGCAGATCATCATTGACCATGCCAACTTGCCTAAATGCATTGAGTTGCCACCATGTGATTGGCTGATTAGTAATTAGTGTTAACGAGCATGCACACGAGCATGCCCACACACATACACTGAATTTCTTACCTGCAGGATAGTCTCAAAGTTAAAGGTGAGTCCATTCCACAGAGTGAACTCTCCACTAGAGGCTCCAGTCACCAGCCGCCGGCCCTCAGGAGTCCACTGTGGACAAGCAGAACTGGACTCAGTGAAGCTGGACACCCGTGTTACCTCAGAAATGGACTTGAGAACAGGAGGTGAAGCCGAGACTCACTCTGATCACAAACACGGGGCATTTGACTTTGTTGGTAGAGGTCCTGACAAACTTGGTGGTGACAGCATTCATTGGGTTGTTCAACATCCCGAGAGGAGGAACAAGCTTCAGACACATGAAAAAAGGAAAGTCAGCTTCTGTTCCTGAACTAATTAGTTCCTCGGAAACTAGAGAAAAACAAGCCCAGCACAGACTATTTTATTCCTTGTGTGTGTGTGTGCGTGTGCGTGTGTGTGTGTGTACTCACATCGTTATAGCAGCCCGCATCAGGTTGGATGGCTCTGAAGTCTCTGTGGTCTCGCTGCCACAGCCGGTTCTGCAGAGGTAAACAAACCAACATGGAGACCCGTTAGTTGGCTTCAGGAACCAGGTTCTACACCAGACTGGGTCACACTAGATCCTTCACTACTGGAAGTAACTTCAGAACAGCTGAGAACAGGCTGGATCATTATCAGAGAATCGGCTGTCAGAGCCGTTGGATTACCCAGAGTGAAAGACACAAGTGCCTGCAGGCTCCTGAGCCGCTAACAAAAAGGCAAAATGTGCACGTACGTCGCGTTACCCAACATGCAGCCAACTACCAAAACAAAGAGCACCTTTTCTTACAGCAGCAGCCCAAAACAGTCTCCTAACACATGGATTTTCTGCTTCCTGATCACGTGACGTGTGACGTACGCAGATGAAGATCGGCTTTAGAGCTGAGATGTTTGTTCTCACGGTGCGGGGGCTCGTTTCAATGCCCACACAGTAAAAACATGCAAATGACGACTTTAGTCATCATTGGCAGTGAATGAGTTAATGTTAATCCATCAGTGTATTCACACATTAATAATATTATGAATGCTGAAGGATTGCCTTCTCTTCATGATCCACTACACTAAAAAGTGCATGACTCCTATAGGCCATCCCTCCCTTCTCTGCACGTCACTGGGCTGTTTTCCATCTCTCGTTCAGTTTTAATTATGAATCAACTGCTCTTATAGGTGCACTTTGTGGTATTTTTCAGCTTTTTGTTTTATTTTTGTCACTTTAGCAGGTTTAATAAAAATTTTGTCTATTTCCTGGCGTTGTGCTTTTACTTGTTCTGTTTTTTCTATTGAACACGTATTATTGTGCTTTGTCATTGATGCGTTTTAACTAATTGCTGAGTTTTTGCTGTATGTGTGTTGTGTTTGCACATTGGCCTGTTACTTTGGTTAGCTGCCATGCTACTCTTTAGCTGTGCTTTATAAAGTAACTGATATGGTAAAGAAATCACATCAGAACTGACCCTACAGGACATGAAACAGACTAAATATTTGGTCCTTTACCCCCTCAGAGTGTCTCTGTGTCTGCCTGTGGGGTTAGGGTTTAAAACAGGGGTGCCCAATCCTGGTCATGGAGGGCCGGTATCCAGCATATTTTAGTTTCAACCCTGCTTCAACACACCTGATTTCAATCAGCAGGTGATTAACAGGCTTCTGCAGAGCCTGATGAACTCAAGCACAGGTGATTCAACCACTGAATCAAGTGTGTTGGAGCAAAAAAAACACTAAACCTGCTGGAAACCAGCCCTCCAGGACAAGGATTGGGCACCCCTGGTTCAGATTCATGTGAGAACCTGTTGAAATCACATGGACCAGCAGACCAACAGCAGAGGGAGCTACATGGGTGAACAGGTGTGGTACCTCCAGGTATCTGATGACAGACGGGTTGTAGTCAATGGTTTTCCGGTTCACAGCCTTCCTCATGCGCTTCCCATCGAAGGTCAGCTGCTGCATGGCCTGCTGCTGGGCGAAGTCTGGCCTCTTGTAGAACACCTGCCGTGGTGCCTGGTGCTGGAAGCGCGGCATGTGGAAGAACCGCTGTGGTGAGCCCACATCTGTCGCCATGGCAACCAGCTTAACCTGTTGAAAATGAAGAGGAGATCAAATTAAACTTATAACCTGATCAACCTAAGACCTGAACAAGAACAGAGCTTCTCAGGTTCCAATCTACAGGCCCTCCTCCTGATTCTATAAAGCCCTCTGCAGCACATCTGGAACCAACAGATGTTTCTGGAACAACTTCCTGTGCTCTTTCACCAACAAGTTACAAGCGAGAGGCCTCAGCTCACCTGGTTAAGAGAAAGATTAAGAAACTCCCCTAATATCTGGTCTGATATGTTAAATCAGATCAGTACAATAACAGGTCTAATGCATTTGAACCACCTGAGTCCTAACTGTCCACTTCTGGACCACATGTGCTAAATAAGACATGTGGATTCATCTTGACCTTCTGTACAACAAGTTCAGCATCAACGACCCTGGCCCGTTATTCTGTCCAAGCTGTCAGGATGTGGCTTTAACAGCATCCCCAGCCACAACAGCAGATGCTCCAAAGACATGAAGAACTCTCCCAATCATTCCTGAAACAAGTGCTCTAGTCAGGAACACACACCACTGTCCTGACACTGGAACGGTCCACATTCAGCCTTCAGGACACCAACCCGACTGGCTCAGCAGACCCTGAGCTGAGAGCTTCAGGTTGGTTCCACATAGAACCTTTAGGTTCCTAACCTCCATCATAACTGGTGATGTAAAGAAAGAAACTGTCTTTTATTTAGCGCCTCTCAAGATAAAAATCATGAAGCACTTCACAAATAACTAACATATAAACAAAAATTTAAAAATAATTTGAAAAATATTTTAAACGAGAGAAAAAAAATTCTAATGGAAGGAAAGGGAGAGAGAGAAAATGAAAGAGGGAAATCATTGGCTCCTGGAAAGGCGGAATAGGTAGAAAGAGCAGGAGAGGGTGGTGAAGGTCACGCTAAAGTGGAGCGTGGTGGTGCTCGGAACACACACACACACACACACACACAAATTGTTCCTCACCAGCTGACCCAGCACCTGCATAAATCTGACAGCTCCAGCTACCATCACCGCAGAGGATGCTTCCTGGTTAAGCTACAGCCACCTCCAGGTCTCCCAGCAACCAAAACCGAGCCCCGTTCGGAGCTCGGAGCTCCACCACCACAGCTCGCGCTGCCCTCCCCGCCTTATGCGGATCCACAGCGGTCAACAGCTCCTACACCGGTCCGGAGAGAACCACCAGTAGGGACGAGTCTGATGTTTACCTACAGCTAAGTCTTAGATGGCGCTAGTAGCGTGGGCGGCTGGAACGGCAGGCTAACCGGATAACCGTTAGGAGGGTCTGTGTCCTCACGGACGGACCGTAACCAACAGAAATAACATCAGGAGTTACACCAATAGAACCTCTCAAGACTGGTGGTTGTGGTCTGGTTTAGGAACGTTTCGCTGTTCAGTAGCCGGACTTAATGGCGGCCCGGTAGTCACGAAACTCACCAACAATCTCCACAGCGCAGGGGTTTAGCTAGCCGTCATAAAGCTGCTAGATTCTGGTGGAAATCTTTTCTCGTAAAAACCATGAAGGTCTGAGACTTTATTGAACTCTGAATTCACAGATTTCTATGACTTTTGTCAGATTTCTGGCTCTTCATCCTCCAGCAGACACCATTATGACGCCTCTTCCACTCGGTCCTACCGAAGTGCATGCTGGGATATCGTCAACAACAGGCGGGAGAACGCAACGACATCTTTACGTAGATGCGCCGTGGACTGGCGCTGTCTATCGGCGTTGCCGTAGTGGCCGGCCGCCATCTTAGATGGGTCTCAGTTCGTCCTTAATGCATCCATTTCCACTGAGAATGGCGCTGACCCAACTAAAAAACACATTTTATCAAATTTCTTCACAAAACCAGACTCGTCGTATGGCATTGTAGCGTACCCAAAGGTCAAGTCTACACATCAAAAATGACCAGAAATTTACTTTTAATTTGCAGACAAAAACACCCCATCTGTCTGGCCTCCTGTTACAGAAAATTTGAAGTTTATTAATTCTTGATCATGGACTCAATCAAGTGAATGGAAATGTATTGCTCTATGCCTCTCTGCATGCTCACTTATTCAGACACATCCACACAAGACAAACACACACATTCTTGACTTCCCACACACAATCTCTCTCTACACTCCCATCCCTCTATAAATAAAGTCTGTGAATGTGGAGGTTGTTGTAGACTGAATGAGTTAAAAATATTTGACTTATTTCATGGTTAAGCTGGTTAAAACATACTTTATTGAAATGAGTGATTCGTTGAAATATTTCGTAATGCAGAAGACAAGTTTATCTAAAATGCTATTTTGCTCATGAGTGAGAGTTAAAATGCACTGCAGTTTAAGATCGAGTGATCAGTGATCGATTATTCCTGCCTTGTCAAGACGACACAAAATTTGCTTCTAAAAAGTGCTTCTGATGTATTTGCCTAAGTATTATCTTTTATGTTTACAGTTTTATCTATTTTTTTGGAGACCAATTGCTATTCTAGAGTTTGGTATTAAACGTTTTTAGTTGGTTTGGCATTGACTAGTCAGGTCTGAGTTGGCGTGAGGGGAAACGCAGAGCTTCCACTCATTCATTAATACAGTGGAAACGGCTGAACTCACACCGTGTCTGCGTGGTTCTTTCTCTATTCCCCTTTTACAGGGATGTAACATTTTCTGGTGGCCCGTACGGGGATTGAGTGAGGCAAGGTTGATTTCTACCAGGACCAGACGTCTCCAGCTCTCGTTCAGCTCCCCACCTTTAATTCATCCCAACAGATGACAACTAGTGGATGGTTGTGTGGCAGTTAGATTATCGACAAACGAAGGCAAGAGCAATCTGAGGTAAACCCAAGGTACCAGGAGTGCTGCCACCAACGTTTCGGCATATCAACCACTGCTACAACAAATCACTAAGTCACTGTAAACAAGATGGAGTCAAGTGAAGTAGAAGCGTTGCAGCTGGAAATATTGGAACTTTAGTGCACGATGCCGGTCGACAGCCTTGAAGAACTGTGTGATTTTCTCACCATTGCTGGACCAACATTTGAGCATGTGGCAGGGAAAAACAGCATCGCTCATCCTAATGATAAGTAATCATCTGCAGAGTGAAAAGTTACAGAAATTAGAGGGCATGGGGATGGCAGACCTCTGCTTTAAAGACAAAATAACAGAGCTTCAGGCCGAGGCAGCAGTTGGCCAAGTAAAGGAACTTCAGGCAGCACAACATGAAGGGAAAAAGGAATCCAGTGAAGCACAGGGTGATGCATCAATTGAAAACAGGTCACCCCCATCATGTTTATTATCTCAAAGAAAAGGTATTTGTGAGGAGAATGAGTACAAACGTCAGACTGTAGTACCCACCCCTAAGATGGCAGTTCCAAGCCCAGCTTTAAGCCATACTCCTGCACTGTGGCACAAAGAATTCAAAATATCAGGACAAATTGGAGAACCAGGACAGAAAGATCGACTCACATTCTCCAGCTTGGCGCGGCAAATCGAACATGGTCTCCTTAAAGGTTTCCCTGAGACTGAGATTGTTGACGCTGTTATAAGAGCCATAGTCCCCAGAATGCAGTTACGCAGCTATCTGGAGGGTAAAGGTGATCTGATGCTGCCCACCCTGAGGAGAATACTGCGCTGCCACTATCAGGAGAAAAGTGCAACAGAATTATATAAACAGCTGTCATCAGAAGCACAAGGCATCAGGGAGACCCCTCAGAGCTTTCTTATCCGCACGCTGGACCGCAGACAGAAGATTCTGTTTGCCTCACAAGAGTCAGAGTCAGGCTTAAGATACGATCCAGTGCTGGTGCAAAATATGTTCCTTCATACAGTTATGACCGGCTTGCAAAATGACAACATAAAGCGTGATCTTCAGCCATCATTGGAGCAAGCTGATGTTCCTGATGAACTTCTGTTTGAGATGCTAAACATTGCTTGTGCTTACGAGAGTGAGAGACAGGACAAGAAAAAGATGAACATTTCACAGCGATCTGCAACTGTCCACTCTGCTCAGTCTGACCATGCCCTTATTGAGAAGGAGAAAGCAAACCAGCCAAGTCACAGTAAAAACCAAACGGATATCCTCTCAGAACTGCAGGAGATGAAAGCCAACATGACCCTTCTCAAAGATCTTAAAGCTGAAGTTTCTTCTATTAAAGAGTCTATGCAACAGCCCTCTTATCAACATTGACCAGTTCCAGGACCAGACTGCACTCCACCTCAGTCAGCTCCAGCCTACGCCGACACATCACTGACTCACTCAGCTGCAGTTCATCGTGGTTATTCTCAACCCCCTCCAGCACAATACGGCTACATGCCACCACCTTCAGCTGCAGCACACCCCAACTATTCACCATCCCCTTAGCACTGCTTGACCGTCCTCCACCCAACCTGAGATATGGACATCAACGCTCCTACTCCACAGCTCCACCACAGCCCAGGAGGAGATGCTACACCTGCCAGCAGAACAACATGGAAAACTGCATTCGCTGTTTCCGGTGTGGCAGCAGCGAACACTACTCAGCTGGCTGCAGAATGAGGAGATCAAGCCAATTCAGAGAGAGTCCTTTAAACGAGCAAGGGTTACCCCAGCGGGGCAGGGAGTGACCACTTCATCATCAGCGCCCCAACACGGTGCACACTGTGGAGTAGGTGGAATGGAGGTGAGGCTGAAACAATGTTCATCATGCAAAAGTGTGTTGTACTGTTCTGAGGCTTGTCAGTATGAGCACTGGGCTGTTCATAGGAGTAACTGTTTAACAGCTTCATGCGGCACAGTCCGAACCACACCACGACGGGAGAAGCCAGCTAAATTTGCACCCCTTGTTGGAAAAAAATATCTGATTGACTGCCATATTCAAGGTCAGAAAATTACAGCACTGTGGGACTCTGGCTCACAAGTGACTGTAGTAAGTGAACGGTGGAAAGCAGAACACTTACCACATTTGGGTTTGAGAGACATTTCTGAAATTATTGAAAATAATGACACTTTGAATCTTATTGCAGCTAATGGTGAGGACATGCCTTATTTAGCACGTTTCAACTGGCTGCGGATGGCACCCCAACTACTGAAGTTATTGTCCCCACTCTGGTTACTAAAGGTAACAGTCTTACCCGCGCCATTATTGGGTCAAATGTTATTGGACTTATAGTTGATAGAGTTGTGGAGATGTGGCTAGAGTTGTTGCTGAACAGCGATCCCTAGAGCAGTGGTTCCTGACCTAGGGGTCCCGACCCCCACAAGGGGGCGTCAAAGCCTCTCAGTGGGTCGCCAGGACCTTTCCACTTTAAGGGGTTAAAACTTAATTTATTACTTGTTTACAGCCTACATTGTGCTCACTTTTTTTTCATGAGTGAAAAGTTTACTGATATTAAGACAGGAAATAATTAGTACAGAAAAAGTAACACACTTTTTAGAACATTTTGCTCAGCTCACTGTTTTATTTTCAAGTGTCAAAAGTTCATTGAAGATAGGACTGGTTGATTAATCACAGCCTTTACAGTAAATAATCTAGTATAAACAGTAATATACACATTTAAGTACATTTTGCTCAGTGTATTTTTTATGTGTCAAACGTTTATTGAAAGGAATGATTGATTTATCAGTGTTTACAAGAAACAATGTGTTCAGAGAAGTAATACAAACTGTCAAGCACATTATGCTCTGTTTGGTTTTGTTAATGACTTTGTTCTGTACTGGAGCCTACTATTACTAGAGCCATTATGGGTCTTCTGAGTTATTTTCGCCAGTACATCAGAGATTTTTCTCGGATCGCTGCCCCTCTTTATGACCTCATGAAGGCTCCTGTGTATTCAAAACAAAGTGACAAGAGAGACAAACAGAAAACAAACTGGGACCCCTTCCAACCTTCCGATTGTCTGGATGGAGAAACACCAGCGCTCGAGGAACTTTTGGACCACCTGGTGGAGCCACCAATCCTCGCCTTTCCTGATTTTAACAAGCCCTTTGGCCTACACATGGATGCTTCCAACCTCGGCCTGGAGGCAGTGTTATACCAGGAACAAGAAGGAAAAATGCGTGTAATTGCATATATCTCCAGAACTCTCACGGACTCCGAAAAGAACTACCATTTCCATTCTGGAAAATTAGAGTTCCTTGCTCTAAAGTGGTCTGTCTGTGAAAAATGTAGGGACTACCTGATTGGCTCGTCATGCACAGTTTATACCGGTGGGTTGCTGAGCTTGCAGACTTTCACCTCACCATTCGATATCGACCAGGAAAGGAGAACATTGATGCAGACTGTCTCGCAAGGCTGCCAGTGGACATTGACACCCTAATGAAGTGCTGCACTGAGGAAATGCCATCTCGCTCTATCCAAGCAGTTGTGCAATCTGTTGAGGACCCAAAGTCGCATTCAGTGTGGTCCATGTCCCTGTCTGTTCAGTGCAATGAAAT